GGGCACCTCCCCTGCCTGGTCCCCAGGCCCACATCCCAGGCCCTGGCTCTGCCCACCCCTCCTCGGGAAGCCCACGGCCCCCTCACCTGGGGGCTCCGTGGGGCAGGGCTGCAGGTCACAGGCCAGTCTGCCCACGGGCTTCACCAGCGGGTCGCAGCCTCGGACGATGTCAGTCCCCTGGTAGCACTTCACGTCGCGCATCCGCACGCCCATCCCGCAGGTCTTGGTGCACTGACGGGGGAGAGAGGGCGTGGGACCCACCGCCGCCACCGGCTGCTGAGCCCCAGCTCACGCGGGACACACAGAGCCTGGGTGACGAGGGCAGGGGAGGGCATGGCTGGCAGTCAGGAGACTGGTACTCAGCCCCACCCAGTGCTGCCTCAGTTTCCCTGTCTGCACAGGAGGGGGTGAGCCCCCTCTCTCGACTATCCCCCCCGGCTTTCCCGGGTCCCTCGATGCCCAGGACGTGGGACCAGGACCCAGAGCACCGCTCTCCACTCCAGTAAAGAGCCGTGTTTGCGGTGGGCCAACTGAACGGGCTCCCAAAGCCCCCTCCGCGGCTCCCTGTCCAGATGTTGCCCTCGGAAAACCCCGCGGAGCTACCAAACGCCAGGGACAGCTGCTGACCCCAGCTACCCCCACGTCCCCCTGCCAACAGCCCGCAGGTGCGGCTCCCCTCGCTCCCCCACACGGCTGACCCCACGTCACCCAGGCCTGTCTGGGACTTAGCGGGGAGCGCCGCCCGCCATGCCCGCACGCGGCTTGGCTCAGCACGGAGCGCAGAGGACAGCCAGCCTTGGTGGGCGCCCCGCGGAGCCTCGGGCACCTACTCCTCTGTCCCCATGGAGGGTGAAGCAGCTGGTGTAGCAAGCTCTTACCGAGCCTCCCACACCCACTGCCCGCACCAGGCACCTCTCCCCCAATCACTGTCATGGGGCATATAGGGGTGCCCCTCCCCCAGCGCGCCCAGGCTGTCTTTTGGGCTCCCCCCCCCAAGTTCATGGCTCCCCTCCCTTCGGGGTTGGCACCCAGCACAGCACTGCACCGGGGAAGAAAGGGCACGGAACCCAGGTCCTGCCCGGCCCACAGCTGCCCTCCCCACCCACAGCTGCGGCCCCATGTCCTTTTCAAGCTGCAGGTTCAGCATGGCTTCTGGGGACCCCAAGCCCTAGCCCAGCCACACCTGCTGCCCTTCCCACCCTCACCTCCCAGCCGAACCCAGCCATTTCAGGGGGGCCCCCTGCACCCTGACATGTCCTGATCTCCATAGCCACTAGCCCCTCCTAGTCCCCCTGGCTGAGGTGTCCCCCAGGATCAGGAGCTGCTGCCCTTCCTTCTGGCTTCCCTTTGCCCCCACGCACATGTCCCACCGCGTCTCTGCACCCCTGATCCTGCATCCTGCCTAGACTCTGTCCCGGGCCAGGGCGCTGTCTGACGCAGCCCACACGCCCTAAGGGCCCTCTGTCTGCTCCATGACAAGTGTCAGGCACAGTGTTGTGAAATGCATGACTGAAAGGCTGCAATGCAAGAACAGAAGTGACCCAGACGAGGAAAGGCCCAGGACCAGCGTTGCAGGGATCCCAGAGGTGAGATCCAAGAAGGCTTCCTGGAAGAGGTGGCTCTTGTGCCAGCTGACTTGGCAGAGTTGAGAAGCTTTCTGAAGACAGAAGCCATGACGGAGGCTGACAAGGGGGACATGCAGGGCACTTGGGGCAGGAGAGGAGGTACCAAGACAGGATCAGACCTCAGGCCTGGCCCCCGGGCGGCCTCAGAGGGGCGAGCGGGCAGCTGCTCACCTCAGACCACGGGCTGGTGTACCACTTGAAGCAGGGCCTCTCGAAGCACATGCTCTCCTCGGGCGGCTTGGTGGCCAGCCCGCACTCGGGGTCGCTGCGTATCTGCAGCTTCCCATTGGTCAGCTCCATGCACAGGACCAGCCTCTTCTTCACACCTCGGCCGCAGGTGGTGTTGCACTGAGGCCAGGGAATAGACGGGGTCAGAGGCCGGGGGTCAGAGGCCAGAACACGGCCCGGGGCGGCTCCGGTGGTCATGGCTTAGTCTATAGCGATCGGGTGAAAGGCTGAGGTGGGTGGCATAATGGCTGAGAACTCTGGTCGACAACCATTTGGCCCCAAACGGGTTTGATCAAAAGCAATTTAGCAGAGAACCAGCTGTTCTGAAACAAAATGGTTCATGACCATTTGGCCCAAGATGACTTGGCGCCTAGCAGTCGCCTGAGACAGCTCAGCTGGGGGAGAGCAACTGGTCTGAGACCGCAGGTTGTGACCCTGAAGTTGGCCATGAGAACAAGGACCTGTGGGCCAGAAGCAAGCGGCCAGCTCTCCCTACAT